GATGGGGGGGGTGGTGGGGGCAGCGGAGCCGCAGGGGCCGTCTCCAAGGACGGACCTGGGAGAGGAGGCGGTGGTGGTGGTGGTGGAGGCGGCGGCGGAGGGGGTGGAGGCATCGGCACGGACACGGGACCATTTTGCACTGCGAAATGGAGGAAAAACAAGGGGTTACTGTGAGCACCCGTTGAAATGTCACAAGCACCTGCAGAAAAAGTCACAGCACCCACCTTATTCCCCACTACACATCTCCTTTCCACTACTATACTGGCCCAAGCGTTTTTGGACCATTCACTGAAGTCCTTCAGTGTATTAACTCAGGACAAAACTACTCTAATGAAAAACTAGTATTTTTATCTGTCAACTGAAGGGCTCTGAAGTGGATCAGACAAGCACAGGAGCTACACAAGTGAGGGTGTCAACACAGCTGGGGACTTCAGCACCCTCAGCAGCTGCAAGGTGCCATGACCACCTTACATCATCACAGCCAAAGGGGGTTTTGTCCACATGAGGCTGCTGTGACCATTCCCAGCACAACAAATTCTACCCGAGCTCCCAGCCAGTCCATGTCTCAAAGGACAAAACGCTTCTTACCTGCCTCAGACGCCGCTGCTAAGGCAGGTAATGGTGGCGGGGGTGGTGGCAGTGGCACTGAAGATGCAGCTCCAGCGACTGGTGTGACACATGGGCCAGCCACAGCCTCTGACCCTGCCGGCACCATCCCAGAGGCCAGAGCAACGGGGAGAATGGAGATGTCACCATCACCTTTCTTCTGAATCTTAATGGTTCCCTGCTTCTCCAGTTCATGGATCTTTTTCTCCAGTGTTGACTGTCGCTGGATGGCTTCTTCTTTTTCCTTCACCATTTTTCTCAAGGTGTGAACCTGGGTATTTGCATCTTTGTAGATTTCCTGAGGGCGACACAGAAACAAGGAATTTGCACTTGTACTCACCAAACAGAACACCAACACCAGAAACACAACAGCCTGACATGGAGCCTGGCACAGTGACCACCTCACACTGAGCTCTGATGCAAACCGTATGTCTTCACTGGTGAGGAAAAACTCATTTTGTGTTTCTCCCAAGGTAGCAGCAAGGTACTGCCCAGTAATGAGTCCTGGGAGAAGTTTCACCTATGGGCACCAACCCCTGGGGGTGCAAAATTTCTCATCATGGCTTTCACAGAATCCCACAATAATCTTGGTTGGAAAAGCCCCTGCAGCTCCTCCAGCCCCACCATGACCCTCCCTCCCCTGACCCTTCCCAACTCCCCCAGATCCCTCAGCGCTGGCTCAGCCCGACTCTTCAACCCCTCCAGGGATCCCGGGGACTCCCCCCTGCCCTGGGCAGCCCATTCCAACGCCCAACAGCCCCTTCTGCACAGAAATCCTTCCTCAGAGCCAGCCTGACCCTGCCCTGGGCAGCTGGAGGCCATTCCCTCGGGGCCTGGCGCTGGGGCCTTGGCTCCAGAGACTCATCCCCCCTCTCTGCCCCCTCCTGGCAGGGAGTTGCCGAGGGCCAGGAGGTCTCCCCTCAGCCTCCTCTTCTCCAGATTGAACCCCCCCATTTCCCCCAGCCGCTCCTCATAAGATACACCGCCCCCCACCCCTCCATGGCCACCCCTCATTTTTATCAGAGAAGACAGGCCGGGAGAAGCAAAAAGCAGTTTTATTGAATTGGGCCAAAGCCCTGGAAACCCCAACTGCTGTACGTGCCTCAAGCTGCAGCAGGTTTGGGTCACCCTTCTCACCAGCCCAAAGGCAATGCTCACACATCCACATTTTGAACACATCCCTTAACGGAGAGAGAGATGTTTGCCACCGATTCCAGATCAGCCCCAAGGAGCAGGTACCCCCACCTCACAGCGGGGTTTGGCACTGCCTGGGCCATCACACAGACCTCGTTCTACGCAAAACCCTTCTAGTGCACTTGGACTCAAGTCATGCTTTATGAAGCAAACTAAACCAGCTAAAATACTCTGGCTTTTGAGTGCCCACTGCACCAGAATGAGAGGTGCAGTAGGCAATGGCATTCTGTGGACCTACACAAATTGGCTTCTTTAATAACAGAAGTGTTCATTTGTTAAGCCTAAATAGTGATACAGTGACACAGAACTGCAAGTTTTTTACTTTAGTTCAAGGGAATCTGATTTGGGGAATTCAGAATAGTTCCATCCTTACTCCCGGGTTTTATCCAGATGCAAACACATTTATATCAACTGCCAATTCAAAACCATTCCCCTTAACAAAAATCACCGTAAATCTTAAATATAATTTCTTTGCTGACAAGTGTTTTACTTACACGTGAATAGCTTTGCAGATCTCATCTGCTGTTTTTCCAGCTTTTCTTAAAGTAATGGCAAGGTTTTTGGCCCTGTTGGCATCCAGTAACGTGACTTTGTTTGACCCTTTCTGAGTTATCTTTTGCTTGCTTGAAGTAAGGTCAATGGCTGGACCTTGGGCTTTTGTTTTGAATATTTCTTCAAATTCATCCACATTTAAATCCTAAAAAGGAAAGAAAATGCTTTTTACTCCCCGCAGCAAACACGAAAACCCACGCTGCCTCATATTGTACCAGAACCGTAGTACAAAAGCTTGTGGTGGCCGAGACTGGCAGAGAACTTTGGTCAGGGACCGCAGGACGGAACGAGCATCCGGAGTCAGTGATCAGGAAATCTGGCCTTCACCCCCCAAAGCCCCACAGATGTTCCGAAGTTCAGGAAAATATTCACGTTAGCACCTTTATCCCACCAGCTGCATCTTCGGGGCACGGGGAACAGACGAGAGCTGCTGCTTCAGCTTCACTCCCCGGCACGCAGCCACCCCCCCAGGCCTAACTCCTGGGTCCCAGGGGCTGCTGGATGAGCTGTTTGCCAAGATAACTGCTGCCTCTGTCCCTGCACAGACCCAGAGCCACTTGTGCTGTGGACAGAAGCGGGGCAGCAAGCACCCCTCGTACCTCCAGGATCCGCTCGTCATCGATTTCGTTGAAGACTGTCCCGTTGATCTGGTTGGGTTTGAGGGCAACCCAGTTGAACACCGGCATGCGGAACTTGGTCTTGATCGGCTTCTTGATTTTCACAGCTGAAGGAGACACCAAAGGAGAGGAAATGACAAATTTCCCAGCCACTGAAAAACACCCCACGTGCCTAGACGGCAGCTTTCGAGTCGGCATTTCAGCACTGGAGGAAGAACTGGCCAGAGCTAAATTATCACACTGGAAAGCCTGGAAAGATCTTGCTGCTGCCTCAACTGGCAAACAGCACCGAGAGGATTTCATCCAGCCCCTCAGCTGGTTCTGGCCCAGGCTCTGCAGAACGGGACTGAACGCCAGAGGCTGTGAAAACTTCACTAAAGGAAATGTGTTATTACTTTATTACCGCAGGTTGTCTGGATTGATTTAAAAGCCCAGGCTATTTTTAAATGCTACAGAAAATGGAGAGAGTGGTCGAATTTAACCCTGTCGTGCTGGCTGCAGAGCCCACCCCTGCGTGAGCTGATGTGCAGCCATGCACAGCTCATCTCTGTCACAAAACAAGAAGGAAAAAAGCCCCTTTCTCAAGGTTTTGGTATAGGGAGTGGCCCTTCCCACTGCCTGCTGCAATGGGGCAGTGCTGCTTCATCTTTTACAGCTGGGCTGCAGCACACACGAGCTTTAACATGGTTGAAATAACAGGATTAATCTTCCTGTGCTGTGCAGGACCAGTAAATGATTTAGTAACTCACACGGAGAAGCGATGAGAATGAAGACTGACTACTCTCATTGATCTGTGAACAACAGAGTAAGAAAAAGCGATGTTGCAGCAAGGAAAACACCACTTTTCTATTCCTATTCCTAACAGGTCTGGAAGGTACATGAGTAATTTCTGTAATTCAGTTCTCCTTTCTTCGTATCTCGATGTAAAAAGCTGTTAGTTGCTACAAAATCAGGGTGTTCATTAACGTGATCAATCAAGGTTTTGCTCCTGAGTCACTCAGGAAATAAAACTGTTTCTTTCCAAGCTGCAAAAGTGAAAGAGAAACTCTGGTTCTTCCTTTCCAGTGCTGGAAAAAAGGGGCATGCAGCCCAGCGTGGGGGCTGGTGGCGGGGAGGTGGGCAGGGCACGGCCCCTCACATGCCCACGCAGGGTCACCGCTCCCCCCCCGAGCACGGGGCACCTTCGGTTCAGTTCAGAGCCACGTTTGCCCCTGGCTCCTGCCTACCCCCTCTCTGGAGCAGGAGCAACCCTGCTCGATATTCGATGCTCTGCAGAGATGCCAGATTTTATTCGCTTCTGTTTCAGAAGATGGCTCCCAGGCTGCAAAGCACTTGAGCAAAGAATTATTTCCCTTTCCCGTAACAATTCTGTATGTGCGTGTTTGCCAGGACAGAGACGACCTATTTCAGGGGACAGGCCCTGTTGTGCAGTGGAGCTGAAACGCTGAAAACATTCCCACTTTAAAAACAAGAATCAAGTTGTGTGTCCATGTCCCTTTCACGCTCGTGCTCATTCTGCAGGGACATCACAAAGAACTTTGTTTCAAGCAAGAGTTTTTGCTTGAAACAAAGAACTGTAAGTGAATAATGTGGAACATACACAACATTCAGCTGTGTATTTTGAGAGTTGTATTTATCCAACTGGAAGACACGAACACACGTGATCAAATTCTGCTCATCTAAACTAGAGTTTTACTCTCTGCTTAATTAATGTGGTTACTTCAAAACAATTCCGAAAATTAAAAAAAAAAAAAAAATAGATTTTTCCATCTGAAACACCCATGAAAAAAGACATTTTCCACTTGTGCATACGTTAAAACAGATTATTGACAGCTCCTGGGTTATTTCAGGACAGGAAAGGACTCTGCCTGATGCAGCTAATCAAGATCTCTTACAATTTCCCTCCCTCCTCCGTTTCAGAGCCCTGGCAAGGTGACCTCCGGCAGCGCAGGGGGGACCAGACCCCGCCGAGCTGCTCGCAGCCGGTCAAAGGGAAAAGCCAACCCTCAGCATGACCAGGAGCGTGGCTTGAGGCTGGCTCCAAAGCAAAACTACTTTGCTGAAGTGCTTTGCTAAATCAGGGCCCCCCCTGCAAGGTGCCAAACCCCAACGGCTGGTGGCATCCTCAAAGCTCCTGCGTGCTGCAGGCCCGGCCAGCGAGCCCCTGCACCAGGCTCCCCGCTCCCCACCGCCTCCCACCGCCCGCACGAGGCCACGGGCACACACACGGGCACAGCACAGAGGGGTAGGTAAATACTTAGCAGAAAGCAACCTACAGAAGAGCTTGATTGGCCCGTCTTACCAGGAAGCAGAAAGAACAGAGAAAAAAAAAAATGTTAGCAGTGCTCAGAAAAGCAAAATTTGTTATTTCCCTCACTCCCCTCTGACCCAGAAGGTTCCTGCCCTGAGAAACGCTCCTTTCTGCGCAGCTGTGGTATCAAGAAAAGGCACTTTTGCTCTCCTTCCCTCTCCCAACCCCCCGAAGAATAAAACATCCGTCCCCCCTGGATCTGGGCATCGTCCCCGCCATCGGCACGGCTCGGAGGAGCCACACGTGGAACCGGGCTTTGCTCCTCTGCTCCCTCTCCCAGTTAACACCGCCGGGATGGGGGGGCTAAGGCAGGGGGGGAGCAGCTCCTGTGCCCCCCGCAGCCCCCCCGAGCACCACCATGGCCACATCAGCAACCCTGAAGTTTGTAATATACCCCGGGACCCTCTACTTCCACGATGCTTTTTGCTTTCAGAAGAAATTTTAAAGGCTGGAATACTTAATCAGTTGGAGGTTTTTTATAAACAAAAGCTATTCATCAGAGCTCCTCAGGCTCTTTCTGGACTCATAAGTTGAGATCTCCTGGGCAGGGGGAGAGCCGTGGTACCACTCGGCATCCACTGCCTGCCTGAGATCTTGGCGTACGCCAGAGAGCGCATCAACTCATGAGTAAAGATGGTCAGGACATTTTCCTTGAGAATACTACCAAAAGTGCCGGGTTTTTTATTTTTCACAGATATTTCTTCATGAAGTTCTCAGAAGAAATCAAAACCATGACAATTCGCATTTCTTTCAAAACCGTAATGTGTTGAGTTAAAGCCAGAAGTGTTCATGTTTGAAAAATATCTTTGGCAAATAGCTTTAGTTTCACTGAAGAAGCCAACTGTTCCAGACCAAACCAAGAGCTTTCAGTTGGTAACTGCTCTCTCCTTTTATAACCCCCTCTAGGATAACACCAGTAAGAGATAACGGGTGTTATCCAGGGGACTAACCAAGTCCCACCTCGGCCCCCTGTCCGCGCTAGCCGTGCCCCGGCCTTGCCCCTGCTGACCTCGCAGTGTGCTGATTTCTTTACCTGCAAGCCCCGAGTTGAACACCACGGTGGGAGAGGCTGTCCCGGGCAGAGG